GTGAGCAAACCACAGCAGCTCCAGAAGAAAATCTTTTAGATAACTTGCAATAAACTGCCTTGAGACCCAACAACAGAGACTGCTGAGCCTTTCTTTGGAAGCTCGGGTTGGAGGAGAAGTTTTTTTCACCACATGGAGCCACCCCTGACCTAGGGTGGTGTTTGACACTCGCCATGCCCGGGGCTGGCACTGCCCAAGGCACCAGGAGCAGCGTCCCTGTCCCTGTCCCCAGCAGGTTCAACACACAATTTGCTCCAACACGGATTTTATCCTTACTCTTGGTGCCTGTGGATGGCTCTGCTGCTCCCGAGGAAAGGCAGAGAGGGTCAGAGTGCAGCAGGACTGCTCGGAAGGACAGAGATGAAGCAGGGATTTTGATTCAAAGCTAATGGATGGGGTTCGGAGGCTGCTATTAGCAGAAATTATCACTGTGTTAACGTACTGCAGGCAGCATTTTTTTACAGTTGAATATGGTGTTATTTTCCTAGTTATCCCTTCCCTGACAAGTGGTTATAATCAAAGCTGTCTGTGAGCACTATTATCAGAAACTTACTATTATGTGCTGGAGGAAAAAATATCACAGGACGCTGCAGTGCCAGAAACTATTGTAGGTTTTAAAGATCTACTGCAACACCAAGTATTTATTTATGTACTGCTTTTACCTCCTGTGGAAGAAAATAATTCTAACTTAATTTTCTCGTCTCCCCCAACTACTTTAGAAAATGCACCTCCCAAAATAAGTCCATAATTATGATTAACAGCATGGGCTAGATCCTCAGCTGCTGTGAATTACGGTTCCCCAATTCCTTGCAGTGGAGCAAAGCCAATTCCTTGCATCGGAGAAAGTTTCCCGTGCCCTTGGCGTGCTGCTTTACATCTCTACGGGTATTAACAAACCTTTAATGTAGCATTGTACAGAATTTGTTCTGGCTAGAAAAAACTTAAAAAAAAAGAATCTGGCATCATGGTCTTAAAAGTCTTTAAAATTATCTCATAAACAAAATGAATTATTTCAATATATTCTGTTGATGAATTAAATCAATGAAACTGCTACTGCTCTGTCATGTGATCTGCCTTCAGAGAACAACTTTATTTTCTTCTTGGTTTTCAGGTTGGCCATATACTTAATAATATAACTGCAATTCTGGCACAGCTCTGTGAAGGAAGGAGCTCCAGTGAGACAGCACAGAAAGGAAGTAATTAACAAAAAATGTTTATATCTGTATAGTTGACTACAAAACATGAAGGAAAAAAAATCCCCTACCATAGGGATTATGAGGTTTAAGGATATGAACAGGCAATGAAACATTCTGCACTTTTCATTTAATAAATCCTCAATAATGATCAAGTTAATTTAAGCAGCTGAGTAATCATTTCTGAAAACATTCTCTGTTTTAGGCTTCTCTCTATTCAGTCAGTGCTGGTGAAAATGATGGTCCAAGGCTAAGATTAGTGAAGAAAAATCCAGAATTCCTGAGAATCCACTGATGGACACTTTCTATCCGAAACAGGTAGTATCCCTGCAAGTTGTTCTTCCCAGATCTCCCCTCCTCAGCTTCCCCTCTTTTTCATCTTACACCTGGGAATTGAACAAACAGAGTCCAAAAAGGGTTTTGGAACAACCCTAAATCAGGGATACTGTGAAGACAAATGGTAAATGTCTGTTACCCCAGCTGCTAAGTTAATTACTGTAATGGGAAACATCTTGACAGAAGCATTGCATATGGTTATTAGCAATTAACCCACCACTCCAAAAATCACAATTCTGCTAATAACAGAACAGAGCTCAGCCTTCCTAATTACAATCTCTGCACGAAAATTTCTTTATATCAGATTGGACTGTTAAATCCTGTAACTAGCTACAATTTAAAAAGACTGGCAATGGAGATACTGAGAATTAGACAGAAAAATGAAAATAGAACAGGATGCAGTGACACTGACTCAAAGTTTTGGGCAACACTCGTTCATGCTTGGGGATACACAACAACTGTCACAGCCTGTTTGTAGGAAATTACACATCAAAATTAAAATGCTAATGAGGGGGAAAATATGCTTTAAAGTGGAGAGGATGGGATGGAACATTGTGAGAGATACCAAATCTTTTACAGAATTTGTGATCTGGGCAGTGTTGTAAATAATGTGCTGGATTTGGATTGCACTGGAATCTGACAGAACAATTTTCTGATCAACAGGAGAGGAGAATAATGCAATTTCCATCCCTCAGAAAGTCCTTCAGTACTATATGGAGGGCATGAGCTGGTTTTTTTTCCCCTAACCACTTGTACTCTAGGCAACTGCACCCCATTATAACTGCACAAAGCCACCAAGGGGAATTGGCATTTCACCTGCTCAGTTCAAAAGCTGCTTTAGCTGAGCAAGATGCAATTTAATTTACTCCTTTCCCCTCCCAGGAGGGGAGCTCTGGACAACATGTCCAGTGACTGCTTTGGTAGTGGCCAGGGTGTTGTTTGTAGATGCTGAGGTCAAAGAGGCAGAACTTGGAGCAAATAAATTTCAGGAGAGCAGGAAGGTGCCTGCTTGGTCATAGCAAGGATGTGGAATATAAAGAAGTCACTAATGCTGCTCCCAGTGCTCTTTTTACCAGAGGCCAGGGTAAGAACTGGAATAAATGAGTCAGCTTCTACCTCTGTGTCAGGTCTGAAGGTTTAACTGACTTGGGATCCCAGCAGATCAATTATCCCAGGAGGCTTTGAAACTGCTTCCACCAATGCTGCAACTCTACCCATGGGAATCATCCCATTAAAGTCAACAGCTCTGCAGGATAGTCTCAAATGAAACACAGCAGAGGGGAGCACATCACATTTGTGAGAAGAGCACATTGCACTGACTGGGGTGGCTTTGGAGCTCAGGACAATGTCAAGGTCACAGCAGCTGAAGCCTCCTGCCCAGAAATCAGGGATTTTTCACTCCAGACTTTGGCTGCAGCTGCATTTTGCTGTGTGGCCCCCAGGCAAAGGTCTCATCTATTAAGTGGCCTTCACTCTGCATTTCAGAACCTCCCAGTTTGCATGTTGCCAGTCTATTATTCTTAACAACTGGGTATAATAAATGTTGTGTATAATTTGTAGTGATCACACACAGCTTTGAAGAGCAACGTTGAATAGTTTAAGTTCCTTAAGATGGAAAAAATTAAAGTATTTTTTAAAGACTAACTTACCTCTTCTGGAAAAATTCCCAACAGCTGAGGAATGAGATCTTTTGCTATTTTGCCATGGTGTGATCCTGAAAATAATCCAGGTTGGGATGACATCACAAGACATAATGAACACTCAGCCTTGACATAATGAACATCTATTATTTTATGAAGAAAGATTTTCTGGGGTTTAAGAAATAAAATTATTAAAAACTATGTGCTCTGTGGGAGGTAATGAGATTAGCTCAACACAAGGTCCTGGGGAGTTAAAACTACTCCAGACACAAGAAAGACTCAGCCATTCATTTGAGATGTAGGGTACAATTATTCTGCTCTAAGGCCAGATAACAGCTTTATTTTCTTCCCCATGAAAAGGAAATCAGTTGATAAAATCTCCAAGGGATCATGTCCATACAAGTTTCAAAGCAATGGATAATATAAAAGCAGTTTTCTTGTTTTGAATGGTAAATGTTTACCTACTTCAGCAAAGGCCTTGGAAAATAAAAACCATACAGGAAACCACTTGTAAAGTGTGTGGAAAATGAGAACTGGGTGTATCGTGTTTCAGGGCTGAAAGGGAGAAAAATGAATGCTCTGTAGAACAGAGGCTGACTCCTGGCTGGTGAGGATGCTGTGCACCCATCCAGCTGTGTCTGTCACAAATCTGGGCAGGAGGAGCTCCCTTAGAGCAGGGGCAGCCCAAGCCATTCCATCGGAGTGGGAAGGAATCAGATTTTAGCACCGGCTGGCTCAGGGCCCATCTGCTGTTCACAGCCCAGTGCCTGGTTAGTCACAGCTCTCTGGAGAGAGGAAACCGTGCTGTAATGGACCCGGGGACCTGCATTAGATCATAAAACGCTTAAGGTGTGTTTTTCTCTTTTTTTTTATTTGCTACTATGCACAGTTCCCTTTCCAGGTCAGTTGGTCTTGCTTCTCTGAGCAGTAAAGGGGAAAGAGTTGTGTTTTGACAGCAGTAAAGGTCTGGAGAGATCGTAAAGATGAGAGGATGGTCTAGAGGACGGCAGGCAGCCCTGGGATTGAAAAACCACTCCTCAGTTCCCGGTTTTATGTTCTTGCTGTCACTAACTCTCAGCAGTAGTGGTGTTACGCCTCGCTCAAGATGTTAAATGCGTTTATTTTCACGGTTGCCTCCCAGAAATGCTCAGGTACGATTGCACTGGGCATCCTGTACAGAACAAAGAAGGACCGGAGGAAATAAAGAGCAGCCAAGACCAGAGGAAATAAAGAGCAGCCAAGTGTCTGCCAGCGCAGCAGAACGCTGCCGGGGTGCCGGCAGAGCAGGGCGGCTGGGGGCTGCGCATCCCTGCGCACCGACACGGAGAGCATCCCCTGCCCATCCCCTCCGGGAGCTGCTCCCCGAGGGATGCGGGGCAGCGGAGCTCCCTGTGCAGGAGGGACACAGCGGTGCACCCGAGGGGAGCTCCCGGAACGCTCCCGGAGATGCTCCCCGAGGGATGCGGGGCAGCGGAGCACCCTGTGCAGGAGGGACACAGCGGTGCGCCCGAGGGGAGCTCCCGGAACGCTCCCGGAGATGCTCCCGGAACGCTCCCGGAGATGCTCCCCGCGGGATGCGGGGCAGCGGAGCTCCCTGTGCAGGAGGGACACAGCGGCGCTGCCGAGGGCCGGGCGGGCACGGCTCCCGGAGCTGCTCCCTGTGCAGCAGGAGCACGGCAGCGCTGCCGAGCGCGGCTCGGCCGGGCGGGCTCCGCGCTCCGCGCTGCGGGCGGGGCGGGGATGGGGCCGGGCCGGGGCCGCCCCGCCCGTGGCGCGGCTGTGCCGCCGCTTTAAATGATTTGGGGGCCGGGGTTGCTGCTCTTGATGCTGCTGCTGCTGCTGCTGCCGCCGCGGGTGTTGCTGCTGCTCCAGCCGGCGCTCCGTCCTCCCTCCCCGGCAGCGCCATGCGAGCCGGGCCGGCGCTGCTGGCCGTGCTGCTGGGCTGCGCTCTGGCCGCCGAGCCGCGGCTGCAGCGGGG